TTGAAGTAGGAATAAGATCCTCCGGAAAAGGGCGCTTTTTCCGGAGGATCGGGGCCAGTGTAGACGCTCTTTTCCGGCTTTTTTAAAAGCCGGAAAAAAGCGGCGGACATTTTTATTTAAATACCGCGGGGGATATTTAAATCCCCCGCGGATTTCCCTATTACGGCTTCTGAAATTAACATGCCCCTTCCGGAAAAGGGGCCAGTGTAGACGTAGCCTAGTAGATTAGTAAGGCATAATTTCCCTTTACAGAAACCATGTTGACTTCCCCCAACAAATTATGTTCACCTATGTGTCTGACAATTTTATTATTTACTATAGTTTCAACTAATTTGCCTGGTACTGATGTTAGATTTACTGATCTGTAATTGCCAGGATCACCTCTAGAGTCTCTTTTAAATATTGGCGTCATGTTAGCTATTTTCCAGTCATTAGGTACGGATGCTGATTTAAAGGATAGGTTACAAACCACAGATAATAGTTCTACAATTTCCCATTTGAGTTCTTTCAGAACTCTTGGGTGAATGCCATCTGGTCCCGGTGACTTGTATTGTTAAGTTTACCAATTTGTTCCAAAACCTCCTCTGATGACACCTCAATCTGGGACAATTCCTCAGATTTGTCACCTAAAAAGAATGGCTCAGGTTTGGGAATCTCCCCAATATCCTCAGCCATGAAGACTGAAGCAAAGAATTAATTTAGCTTCTCTGCAATGACTTGATTGTCTTTGAGTGTTCCTTTAGCATCTCCTTTAGCATCGTCCAAGGGCCCCACAGGTAGTTTAGCAGACTTCCTGCTTCTGATGTACTTACAGGTAGGCAAAGCAAGTATAATGCCGCAGCTGCTGAGACATCTTGGTTGTTTTGAAGCTTTTTTGGTATGGTATTAAAAAACTAGATAAATTCATGCAGGATAGGTCCAACCCATGGCTATTAGCCACTGTGGACAGAGATGGTGTCGCTGGGAATGGATCACTTGATTACCTGTTGTGTTCACTGCTTTTGGGGCAACTGGCATTGGCCCCTGTCAGAAGACAAGATACCCGGCTAGATAGACCTTTGGTCTGACCCAGTATGGCCATACATGTGTGTGCGTCTCCTTTTTTTCATGTGAAGTCCTTCAGTTTTGCATGTCTCCAGTATTATTCCATGTGAATGGTGTCAGATTGAAATTTGTGAGATCTATATGCCTCCCAGTGCCTAAAGGTAAACCTGGTAAACTCCAGTCAGTGAGTCACTGCTCTGCTCAGGAAATTTCACCTCTGAAATCCTCCCCTGGCCCAGGCAGATCTTGGCCTTTGAACTAACACTGCCCCCACAAAGGAGTAGATTGTAAGGTGGTATTTTTCATGGTGTAGACACTGGTTCATCAAACTAGACCGATCACCTATTCATGTTTGAAAGCAAATTTCCATATATGGTACTTTGATTATTAAAAGTAATGCAGTTTTACAAATGTGATTTTTATCAGCCGCAATTAATTGGAGTTTTCTGTTTGCCCTTCATTCAGCTCAAATAATTGTAGATAGCCAATCAGATTCTCCTATTTGTTCTTCTCCAGCAGGAAACCACAGCTCTTAGATTGTAAAGACTGAAAGAGTTTTATTCCTTTAAAAATAAATCTACCATAGACTTTTCTTGATTAAATTCGTATTTTTTAAACATAAATTTGGAACCTTTAACTTACCTCCTACATCCCCCCCCTTCTCAAAGGCCGGGGCCACAGGAAAGGTGGATTGGTTGTTAGGGGTTGGGGGAAAAGTCTTTTAATGCAAATTTTGCACTACTTTGCCTTTTAATTAAGTGTTCTTTTTTTTTTTAGCCTCTAACATCCGGTCTTTACTATTACTATATCCTGCAGCTGGCCTTCTATTGGTCTCTTATGTTTTCTCAGTTTACAGACATTAAACGAAAGGTAAGAGAAGCCAGAATTTCACTACACATATGAACAAGCAAGGCTGACAGAATAATTGTATGTCTGTGTCATGTGGACCTCCCTCTGGCAGGTGTCCCTCCATGTCCTCATGTCACGCTCCGGCTCAGGCCCACGTCACTCTTGGACCTCAGGGTCCTCTTCAGGACACTGCCCTCCGGCAGTGCCCACTCCATTGTGTCTCAGCCCCCTTCTGGGGTGGGGGTGTTTATCCGTCTCTGTACTCCAGGGTCCTCTCCTCCCAAGGAACCCCCAATTCCCCAATCCCCACGTTGCCTTAGTGACCCACTGCCAGTCTTCATCCAGCCCCTTATCGCAGGGGCAAATTGCAGTCGGAAATGGCCACTCATCATCGGCAGGGGGGTGGACCTGCTGCCTTTGCCTATCCTGGCCACCTCCCTGCCGCTCTAGAATCCTGGAGTGAGGTCAGGGCAGAGCTCCACAGCCCTGCCAGCCTTTTCCCACTACTGCCCTGTCCCAGGAAGTCCCCAGCTTCCCTGACAGCCAGTCCCTTCTGCTCCCCAGCTAGAGCAAGTGTCTCCTCCTCCTCCATCCTGGAACCCTTATTTGTGTAGTCCCAGATGGGCCCTAATTGGCTACTATCAGCTGCAGCTGTGGGCTTTGCTCTCAGCTCTCTTCCAGGGCTGGGTTTTTACCCTTAAAGGGCCATAGCAGATGCTGTGTCACACTCTGGCTTGTAAAACTGCTGAAATATTGCTAAAATTGCATTTTCCTGTCACTCCTCTCCTTTCACATTTCCTTTCCTTTTGTAGACTGTACACAGAGAGGCCTTTGGGGACTATCCTGATAAACAACCTGTGCAGAACATTCCTATCTCTCTGCAGAGGGAAGAGGGGAAAGCAATCAGCATATCCTAATAGAACAGCTGAATCAATCTTTGTAAAAAATATTGTTTGATTCTGAGACTTATAGGAAAATATAGAAATAAAATACTAAGTATTAACTAGAAGCTTAGAAGAAAGCTTTTTAGTTTTGGCAAAATAAAGAGGACTGATAGTTTTTGTGTTCTGTAAGCAGCATGGCATTCTCACTATGACTGAGCTAGCCTACCTCTCATGTGCTCAAGAAAATGTTAATGTAGTGCTAAGAGACTGAGGAGCGTAAGTTTTCTGTTTTTCAAAAGTTACATGGATGTGAAGGAACCTAAGTCCCACTGAACTTAGGCATTGCAGAAAATGTTACCCTGCACCTCTTCTTTGGGCCTTGACATATGGTTTGAAAATTTCTTGAGTCTCAGTTCATATGGGAAGAGTCTCTTTCCTGTTCCTTTTCAACATTCTGTGTCTTCCAAAACACCAGTGCACTTTCATTCAAGTGCATTTCAAATAGATTTCTCTGTCCTGAGTACCAATGTCTGTATCTGTTAGTCACATATACACACAATCTTCCATTTAGTTGCAAACAATATACTTGGGCTTAGTGAATTTTGTAGCATTGCTTATGTGATCAAGCCACACCTACTTTGAGATACCTTTCTGAGGAGAAAACTTCCCATCCCTTGGAAAAAAGTGGGATTCCAAATTGTTTTTCCATCCACTTTTATAGCAGGTTGATCTGCATCTTCCCAGACAGTTTCAGGAAGTACTGTGTCTCAAAGCTAGTCACACCTTTGGGTGGCACTTCTCACAGGCTAAATCTTGGGTCTGGTTTCGTATGTTTAGTACAGTAAACATCCCACAGAGATGTCACCTTAGCCATGATTATCCACCATCCTCAACAGGTTCTCAATGTACACCAAATACTCCTAGATGATGAAGCACTGCAAGCAAGTCAGGATTGGTCTAGATAATGTGCAGCATCTAATTAGAAATTAGATCCAGACAGTTGAACCAAACAGGCACTGAAAAGCACAAAGCTGAGGAGGGCACCACACAAACGGCAGGCAGCTTCCTTAGACATTCTCTAGCCCCGTGGTCACCAACCAGTCGATCGCGATCTACTGGTAGATCTCAGGGGCTCTAAGAGTAGCTCTTGAGCCCTCTCTGAACTGCGCGCCTGCGCAGTATATTTACATTAGATTTCTTCATTTGAGGAGCAGCTACTCACCGAGCAACAACACAGGTGAGTAGCTGCGAGGAATGGTGGGAGCTGGGAGGTCGGGAGGGCTGAAACTGACTGTGGCTTTCAGCTGAAAGAGGCTGCCCCACGCTCCAGCTGATCGGCAGCTTCTCCTCTGCGCCTGCCCACGTGGAGCTTGGTGCACCGTGGCTGAGCGCCATGGCCAGCTGGCTGGGCAGCCACTTCTCTTCCCTCCAGCCCTGCTGCCCTGCGCTCAGCCCAGGGAGGCTGCGTCTAGCTCCAGCTGTGCTGGAGCAAGCTTCCCAGGCTGAGCGCAGGGTCACAGATGCCCATCTGATGGACTGTATACGACTAGCAATCTCAGACTACAACCCAGACTTCAAGACACTGGCAGATACTGTTCAGTCACAGGTGTCACACTGAGACTTTGTTATTGGAAGAAAAAATATATAATTACCAATACTTGATTTTAGATTTACAAAATAGCAGAGAACAAAATGTATAATTGTAAATGCTTCATTTGACATTTAAAGAGCATGAATTAAAAACAGACCATTTATTTCATAACTTTTATAAACGTGATTTTAATTTTATATACAGGCAGTCCCCGGGTTATGTACAAGATAGGGACTGTAGGTTTGTTCTTAAGTTGAATCTGTATGTAAGTCGGAACTGGCGCCCAGATTCAACCGCTGCTGAAACTGACCGCCAGTTCTGACTTACATACAGATTCAACTTAAGAACCCCAAGCTTCCCCAAGTCAGCTGCTGCTGAAACTGATGAGCGCTGATTCCAGGAAGCCTGGGGCAGAGCAACTCTGCCTCCGCCAGTTCTGACTTACATACAGATTCAACTTAAGAACCCCAAGCTTCCCCAAGTCAGCTGCTGCTGAAACTGATGAGCGCTGATTCCAGGAAGCCTGGGGCAGAGCAACTCTGCCT